GCGGCCGCCGGCGGGCCTCTCGTGCGCGCGCGCACGGGTCTCCTCCTTCCCCTCCCTCCTTCCCCGGAGCCGCTGCGCATGCTCACTTTCCCGCGACCCACCGCCCTCCGACAGCCGGCGGGCCCCAAAGCTCTCCCCCTCCACCTCCCCGCGCGCGGAGCTCGCGAGGCTGGCGGCTCCGAGAGTCCTCCCGCAGTGGGGCGGAGGGAAGCGCAGCCTACGTTACTAGCGCCACCGCCGGGTCTCGCCGCTGATTGGGTACTCCAAGGGAACCACCTCCACACCCTCCCCGCCCCCAGACCCCGGGCACGCGCCCTGGGAGAGCTAGAACCTCCTACCTGGAGCCGCGCTGGCCTCGCGGGCTCGCTGGGTGTCAGCCTGCGCAGAAGCCCTAATTTGAGGGGCGACCCTTGACCCACTGTTGGGGGAACCAAGGGGTGCTAAACTCCGTGAAATAGATTCAGTGACAGTTCAGATCTTTGGCGTCTAATGAAATACTTTTGATAAAGATGTTCGCATCTTTTTTTGAAAGACGTAAATATCTCAATATTTTAGACTTATTAATTTGATGAGGTTTTTTTGTGTGAGTGAGTCTGGTGTCACAGATAGCTCAGTACTTGCAGAATACATCTGAAGCTGCTGAAACAGAAATAATCGACCCCCTTTCTCATTCATCCAGTCTTTTCCACAGTAAGAATTTGGGCCTCCTGTGGTTCCAAGATCCAAAATACCTATTGACATAGGGGTCGATGGTAACCTAGTCAACGCCATCCCCTGATCTAGCTCTTATTTTCATTTCAGTATTCATTTTATCTAAATTGTAAAAAGTCTCCGTTAGTTTTCCCCCCTAGGGCTTAAACTAGATCTTTCTTCTCACGGTTTGCTGCTTTTCTTCATTTCTAACGTTAGCCCCAGGAACTATCTAAAATCCAGCTATAACAAATTCAGCTCCTCCTTGAAGTTTGAAACCTACCTTTCAATTTGAAAAATATAAATTAAGTTTTGGCCATAACATAAATATGCACTAGCCACCACCACCACCACCCCCAACTTTGTCCTTTTTCAACTCCTTCGCCATCTGTAAAGAAAATTTACAAAAGGAAGTGAAGAAACTCATGATGTAGCTAAATCAACTATATTTGGCAAAACCAGAAGGATTGAATTACCTGTAAGACGGTACTTTTGATGACCACTTTAAAAAAATAATTACATATGTACATATGTATATGTGTGTAGCCAATGTATTGTTTGTTTGCCATCACAACACAAGAAAGGGAAATTTTTACATCACTAGTAGGAATTGAGTTAAAACTCAATGTAGAGTTTATCTACCTCCTAGAATTTAGATTTTAATTAATTAACGGTTATGGAACAACAGACTTAAAAGAGGCTTTAATATTTTTTAATTAATTTTATTTCACAGATAGGGAAACTGATTCTGCAGAATTAAGTGACCAAATAGAGGCGACACTACTTCAGAACCCAATTTCTGAATTTCTGTTCTATTATTTCTAGCAACCACACTGTTTCTTGACTCATGATTCACTTAAGGTTCTGGACAAGGAGGTGCAGGTTACTTAACAGTGGTGTTAAGAGTTGACATTATGGGATAAGCGGTGTTAGAGAATTAAACACATTCAATGAAAGGTTCATAGCACACTCTGAGCAACAGCTCATTAAACTCTCACATCAGGAACTTTTAGTTAGTTTACATGGAATTAATTGGGATTCTTAGTATTACACATTGTTATTTAAAAGAACATGTGTTTAAAATACTAAGAACCGAGGACAGTGCCTAGCATATGGTGTTCAATAAATATTCGTTGAACGAATACTTAAATGAACTTCATAGCAAGTCATAATTTTTCTTGTGGATAATGTGCTTTGATAACTCAACAATTTCCCTTCTGCTTTTCAGTTCAATTTAATAAACATTTATTTGGCATCTACTATTTGTAATGTTCTATACTACGCATTATCTATAGTATTTAAAGATTAATAAGTTCTCTATTCTCTCAGCTAATTCATTGCATTTAACTTGTGTTTGCCTTGATAGAGCTGATACTCACTGTGTTGGAAGCCCATATTCTTAAGAGAATTGAACATTTTCCCAATAGCCAGAGTTATGAAACCCAAAAATGAGTTCATGGAAATGAAAGTTGTGTGATTTCTTTCCTTGCAGATTTTTTATATTGAATTTAATACACCAATCTAAGAATGGTTTAGTCACATCCCTGCCAGAAATCAGAGAACACCCCTAAATTAATTCTAGAGATCTCTTTCAATCCTCTGTCCTTGAGTGTGAAATAAACAATTCATAATTTCTGCTTTATTTCTTACACTTGAGTGAGGGAATACCCATAAGTCTTAGCCATTCTATTACATGTCCAGACAGAGCTCAGAATAAAGCTTTTAAAATCAATTAGGTTATAAAATGATATTGATCCTTTGAGAAAAATATTATCAAGGACTTTTTTTTCTCCACTTTATTGTCTTTCTTGCTGTATGGTACTATATCATAGAGTCACATGACATAGACGATCTGATTTCATCTTGTTACACATTTCAGAGTTCCAAACCCTGGTGGTAAAGTGGGTTCAATAAATTCATTATATGGAAAAAATGGTTTAAACACTGGCTCTAACACTAGCTCTAAAACAGGAGAAATAATAGTATCTCTCTTCAGATTTTTCATGTTCTTTAAATAATAGTAATAATCAACAGAGAGCTTCTTCTTCACATTGGGTTTGTGCCAAGTACTATATATTAGTTCATTTAATTTTCATAAGGATGGGTTATAATTTGACAACACTTTTCAACTGATTTTTTTCAGATATCGTACATGCAACCACACTTCAGCCGGAATCTAGTTTGTGTACAGAGAGAGAGAGACAGAGATAGAAAGACAGAGACAGAGAGACAGAGATAGACAGACAGAGACAGACAGACAGAGACAGAGAGAGACAGAGAGAGAGGGAGGGAAAGTGAGAAATGAGAGCATTGTTGGTTGTTTTTGAAAAAGAAAATCAAATTCAGTTGGGAGAAATGACAGAAATGAGAGGAAGAAAGAGCCATGCATATTATTCTAAATATGTACTACACTGAAATTTACATGTTGAAATGTTTCTCAGAACACCTATTAGAACACCTATTTCTACTAAGGTAAATCAGAGAAACAAAGTAAAGAATATTTTCCTTTTATGAAAGCTCTAATTCTAAAAACAATATTGCAAAATGACATTTTAGGAACCCACATTCCAAGTGTAGTCTACTTACCAAAATTAGAATCTTTCCAAATTGCCCACCTAGGCAATATAAAAAGCTGAAATTTCTGGGACCAGGAACTACAAAAAAATCTCCTGTTTTGTCTCTCCGGTAAGATATGGTACACTTAGGAGACTAGGCTACCATTATGGGTCTGCTTGGGGATCCAGCCCTGTCTGGAAAAGGGAGGCAAGCTGCTCCATATTCGCAGTAGGATATGAACTCCTACAGTCATTGAGAGTCAGGGACATGTTTGAGAAGGAAAGACAGGTAACTGCCAGTTCCTCTAACTCTATTTTCCACTTTTTCCTCCACCTCTCGTTCAAATCATCGACCTTTCTATTTCTCCAAACTACTTCCTGCCACAGTGTAGCTCCTTGTTTATTATCCCAAGTCTTTGAAGCTTGAATGTGAGCATAGGAAGAAAAAGACTGTTAAAATCATACATACTCTCACGTGCACGTGCGCACACACACATACACACACACAGAGGCACACACATACCTACATTTGGCAACGTTACAAGACTCATTACCCTGTATGCAATCTTGTCATATTATGGATGGAAGACCAAATATAAAACATATAAAATAGAGTGTTTTATTAAATGCCACCTGTAGATTCACAGTACATGATCCACATTAGATTCGATTCTTAAATTATTTAATTGTTGAGCTAAACATAAGAAAACATGTTATACCCAGAACAAAATGGTGAAAATGGTATTTCATTGTATTTTAATTAGTGTTTTTCTCAGACTTTAACTGAGGTTACATTTTTTTTCATGTGTGTGGGAACATTTGAATTACTTTTTCTAGATACTTTTCCCTATTTTTTCTTTTGGGTAATTTATCTTTAAAAATTATATGTAGCAGCTTTTATATATTTAATAAATTAGCCATTGGTAATATGTGTTGCATATCTTTTCCAGTTTGTCTATTGCCTTTTAATTTTAACAAACTTTGTCATGCAGAAATTTCTGATATTTACATTGTCAGTCTTTCCTTTTATGGTATCTGCCTTCTACCATGCTTTAAAAAGTCTTCCTCACTCTCAGATTTTATTTTTAAACTCTCATAACTTTTCTAAAAATTATATGGGTGTTTTTGTTTATACCTTTGACCCACTTGGAGTATTTTTAATGTAAGAAGTTTAGAAGAGATCCAGTTTTTTTCTAGATGGCTACCCAAGATGTCTGAAAACATATATTGAATAATCCATCATTTTTC